ACAGGTACAGAAATAGGGAAGGAACTCTAGAGTAGGCAATAAGATCTTGCAGAGGAAAAAAACAAAACCACAGCCAAACTTGCTCAGAGAACAAGTCAGGCATCACATGGCTACTTTTCAGGACTAGTAAAGCATCCTTTAATTAAAATAAACAACACTCCCAAATGTCATTCTTATCACATAATAAAGACAAGCAGGAATATCTTATTAAAAGTACATCAGAGGCTCACTAAATTACACAGTAATAAGGTTTTGAGAAAATTAAACTACAGAACTATAAGCTTAATGGCCTTCTAAGACTCCAGGTGGCACAGAGCTCTGACCCATGTAATTGAAGTGACCTTTTATTAAAATTATGAGACTAAGTTCCTACAGGGGACAAGAAATAGCCTGTGAAGAAATAACATTTATTCTTTGAATAGCACAATATGAATGCTGGAACAAGATTGCATCAGGAAAAGGTAAATGATTACCTCCCCAGGTTCAAAATCTCTGAAAGGTCTCAACTGCTAAATGCTGACATGACAGATCCAGGTGCACCAAGCCACTCAATACCCTGTATGCAAAGGAAGGAAAACCTCTCACTACATGTATCTGTGTAGCCTGCTGTGCCAAATCTTGTTTGGGCAGGATGGATGTCTACACCTTGTTATCTAAGAGACTTAAACAAGTAATAAGAAGGAAAGAAGGACAAAAAAGATTATTCCAAAAATAGTAACAGAATCAGCAGATTAGTAAGAGGATCAAGGAAAGATAGTCAATGCTTCTTTCCTTTCTCCAAAACTAAAGTGGGCTCAATATTTGAGAAAGGCCGGACTGAGAGCTATGAAAATTGAAGGCATAAAACGGACGAATAAGTATAACCATGGTTGGTTCATTTCTATGGGGTCCTGCCGTCAGTGTAGAGTTTGATACAAGGCTCAAAAATGACACAAATGAAGCCAACCCTTCATTACAACAACTAATTCATTTCACATAATCCCCTCCTCAAATTCCACATTGTCAAAGTTAGAGACTTTTAAGTATAACTGTTACGGGACTCACCTAGAAATAAAAGACATCAACTACCTCATTGCAATTCTTGGCCAACTGGCTAATGATAAAATAGTGAAAACAATATAAAAAAGTTCAAGTAAGCTTTTATATAGTTCTATAAGAAGGGTATGTCAGTAAAATACCCTCAAGTGGTTTAAAAAAAATCCTTTAAGCCAAAAGGACATTTTATTGATCATTTATCTAGTTAATAGCATACTAAAAAGTATTCTGACACCCTGAAAGGCAAAAATGAGAGTTTTCTGTATGAAACTTTACTGGCACTTATTTACTCAAATTTCTAGAGCAATGAACTGTAATCTTTTTAAAAAGACGGGAGGTTAATGGGAGATTTTCCCCTAGCCTTGCATATTTCTTAATTTCCTTCCTCTTTTTGTTCCTGCAATTTTTTCTTAATGTTTCAAAGTAATCAAAACGTACTATTGCCTGACCGGCATAGCTCAGTGGTTGAGCGTCAACCCATGAACCAAGAGGTCTCAGGTACGATTCCCAGTCAGGGGATATGCCCGGATTGCAGGCTCAATCCCCGGTACAGGCAGTAGGCAATCTATGTTTCTCTCTCATCAATATTTCTATGTTTCTATCTCTCTCCCTTCCTTTCTTTCTAAAAATTCATAAAAACATTTAAAAAAAAAATTACTATTGTGTTTTTCCATAAGATTTGCCCTGGCCTCACAGAACTCAAGGTAGCACCAAAAATAGTAATTGAATTATTTTGTTTGTTTAATTAAAGCTAAGTGGGTAAGAATACTAGACACCAAGCATTAAGAGGCTTGATTTCTACATCTGGTGCCCTTCTTTTCTCAAATTTTCTTCCTGTTGCTAGATTAATGAGTCCCTATTTATTGTTAAGGTGATCTTAAACACAAAAGAATAGAAAGCAAGGTTATTCTTTCTCATTCTGAACAGAAACTCCAATAACATAAGAAAACATAAGCCACTTTAAAGCACATATTCAAAGAGATATCCTGCACACTCCATCACTGTTTAACCAAGACAGCAGTCATTGAATTAGTTTGTACCAGCTCAAGTTGGTACAGAAACAGCACAGAAGAGCTAAAGGCTGTGATTTAAGGGCCATGGGACAATTATTCTCTTCTTCCATTAACAATGAAAGAAATGCACTTGTCCTGAGGCACATTCAACTGTGTTCCACAGATGCTACCCAAAATCATCTCACCAGAACAAAAATCTAAGATGTTCTAAGATTGCTATGACAACCTCAGCAGTGCCTCTGTTAAAGCAAACACTAGGCAAAAGAAGTTAACCTGTACCCAGAATATTGTATTAAATAAAATGTAAATATGACAAGCTATCAGAACAAAGATCTATGGAACTACTGTACAACCAAGATATAGTTGAATAGCATACTGTTTGCCTTCCTATCACGATAACAAATATTTTTTTTTAAATCTGAAAAATGGGTAACTTGATCAAATTTTAAATATCTGACTGAATTCAAGCATGAACTGGACAATAAAGTGTAGATGAGGCCCTTTACTATAACAACCCTGGAGAGGGTCAACAGGCACCTTAAGTGTTCTGACTGGCCTTCACCTAAGCTTAAGAAATTCCCAAGCAGGTTAACCCAGAGCAATACCCTTTTAGGAGTTGGATTAGAACCAACATTATTTCAACTACCTCCCCCTTTCAGAAACAGCCGGAAGAGAGGGAAATGGAATGAATACTAGGCCTGGTCATCAACTGGTCTGATCTTTCTGCTCCAGTGGACAGTTAACTACTAAATCCAAACATTTACAGCTTCGATTTCCTATCTAATTTTCCCCTCTAACTCCTGCAAATGGGAGATCTACAGAGACTCCAGGCCATTTTTCCATAAAAACACATGGAGTAAGCCAAAGGATGTCATCTGCCCCCTAGGCTCCAAGACCATTCAACTCCCACCCCCAAAACAGCTTCCCTCTCTTTTGTACCCAGTAGCCCCTTTCTGGACTTTCTCCTCTTCCCCAAAGAGTTCCAACGGGAATTTTCCCACAAACGTCACCCCTGTAGAACAAGCGTATTTCATCATCAAAAACAAAATGAAAATTCAAAATTCAAACAGCTAATGGATAATTTCTCAATTTAAAAGTTTCCTTTTATTTCTTACACCTGAGATTGCTTCATTAGAACAAAAGGCCAAGTAGCAAAAGAATACTAACAAAACTAGGCAAACTACCAATCATGCTTTGATACCTTAACTTTTTTGTGAATAAGACTATCTGTGGTTATGACTTTAAATTGCATGTATAAAACAGTCATCCTTCCTGCTAGGAAAAGTATTACCAATTCTTCAGGTAAACTTGCAATACCCACAAACTCACAGTGTTGCACAAATATGCCTGGCATCTGGGTGCTACACCTCCAAACAGGTCACAATATTCACGGTAGTTAACTATTTCCATTTTTAACCAAACTAAAAATGTGAAATAACAGAAGAAATATCTGGGATAAATAGATTTGTATGGGATTTGGAGGGGGGGGGGGCAGTCCTAGGTTCCTGAAATCAGTTTCATAGTTCAAGGGGCACGGTGTATGTGTGGTGGAGAGAGAGAACAGTTTAAGAATATCTGTTAAAAAGAAAATACAGAGACAGTGTACAGCAAGAGCTGAAGCGAAGGCTTCTCTGGGATATTACTTGAAAACTACAAAGACTCCGACTTCAAGTCGCAGGTTGACAAATTCAGCCAATGACACGCACTGTTCCCGCGGAGGTTTAACCAAGAGCACAATCTCAGAGCCTAACGAAACAGTACCCTCCAAGTCCCGGTCACAGCGGTAAACACGGACCCAATCCTTACAGGCTGAAGTGTCTGGGCTATGGCTTGTGACAGGAGGGCAAAATCCCTTCCAGCTTCATCCTTCCCAACGAGGAGAGCTCTCCTGGCCCTTCCGACCAAGTCCCATCTGAATGAAGTCACTCTGTGAACTGCACGTCTGTCCCCTTACGTCAGATTTGCAGCTTGTCTTGAATTTGCACCTTTCTGGGTGTGTGAACGATTAGGCGAACGATGGCCGCATGTAAGTGCCGTCAACATCTCGTATTATTTGTTGCTCCCCATTCCAAGTCTCTCTCTACATTAACTTACGCGAGCTGCTATTTCCGGCCGGACAAGTCAAATTAACAGAGGAAATTAAAAGCAACAACAGGGATGGCTACAACAGGAGCCAGCTCCTGCACCACCGCTTCCAGGACTACCGGGTGCGGCCCCAGGTTCAAGGTCCCGCCCTACCCTCGGGAGCAGCGCCATCCCCCCCCCACCCCCCCACCTCCCGCCCCGAAAGCAGCGACCTCGCCCCAGGGCCTACCTCTGCAGCTCCTCCTCCTTGATCCGCTCCTCGTCCCAAACGAAGCCCGCAACCGCCGCCATCACGGCCGAGACATGGCCAGCGCGGCCCCGCAGCCGGCGCCACAGGCGGCCCAGGAGGACGAGCCGCGCACTCTCCGAGTAGAGGCGGCCGTAGAGCTGCGCGATCTGCTGCGCGCGGCGCACGCGCAGGCCCGTCACGAAGCGGCACTGATTGGCCAGCAGGGCGAGCAGGCCACCGCCCCGCGGCACCGCGCCGGCCGCCACCACCGCTGCCGCCGCGGCCGCGGCTCCCACCAGCCTCCGCGAGAACATGCCACCAGCCGGGCGCCCTGGACAGAGAGAGGAACGAGTCTTCGCGGTCTCGGCGGGCTCCTGCCGACCCTCCTAGTTGGTCAACGCCAAGCCTGTCATGTCTCTCTGCAGCAGCCGCTGAGGAGGGGTCCCCTTTGAAGAGGTGGCCTGTGACCGCTGCAGGCAGCGGACGTGGGCCAGGGATGGGAACCTGGCGGGCAGCCGGCACCGGCCTCCTCAGTGTTCTCACGCCGGCTACCGGGGTCGCAGTGCGGAGCGCGCGGGAAGCAGCGAGGCGGACGGCTAAATCCCAGGCATTCCTCACCCGCCACACACGCTGCCCACCTACAACCTACTCGCCTCGCTGCAGCCCGGGCTCTAACTGGGCGCCGCCCGGACTCCTCGCTGCTGATTGGCCGCTCCAAGTGCTCGTGACCATGCCTTCCCGCCCCTTCGCGCACGCGCAGGGGCCACTTTCTAGCAAGGTAGGTGGCGCGGCGATGGGAGCTAGTCAAGGGCGACCCGAGAATGACCGTCGGGCCCCTCCGTCGCCGCCATTTTCGGGCTGTCCGGCTCCGCCCCGCGGAGGAAGGGGTGTGGCCAGGTGCCTTCGGGATCCGGCGCGGTGCTGCAGGGCCGCACTTAACTAATTCGAGGTTTGGGTGGGATGGGGACTTGGCTTGCCTCTGTGGAGGCTCCGGGGTGCCCAATTAGTGGGGGTGTTCAGTTAGTTGCGGTAGTGTGGCCTGACGGCAGTTGCCATCTCTCCATTCTCGGCCTCCCCTCTGGCTGTCCCCGGATATCTGGGACGCGGACACGGTTCCCCCGGGTCGGAGTCTGCGCACCCGTCTAATCTTTGCAAATCAGGGAGGACAGCCTTAGAGCCCCACACTTTTTGGAGAGCCACGTGGACAGGTGGCCCGGCTACGTCTGGGAAAGCGGTAGCCCTTTGGAGTTAGTTGCATACACCCTGGGTCGGGGAGTACCTGCTCTCTCCTTGTGACCCAACGGTACCAGCTTGAGGGGTGAGCAGGTTCCCTAAAACCTACTTTGCAGCTCGCATGAAAAGCCTGGCTAAATGACCTCAGAGGGCATTCAATGACTACTCTGTCCCTGACCTCATAAAAATGAAGCTGCTGAGTGTCCAGTAGGAAAGCCTTACACCAAATCGCCCCTGGGTTTTTTCCCACGTGCATTAAGTACCTTGTAGACAAGCAAAATATTGAGAAGGACATCTTGATGTTAAAGGGACTGTGCTCATTCCAAGGCATTGCATTAGAAATTTTTCTCTTTATCTAGTGGAGCAATTTTAGATGTTTTTAATAAAATATGTTTTTCCAAAAAGAGAAAAAGAAAATCATGCTTTACTGGGAGCTGAAATTTATATCTATCCTATCAGACTGTCTGATTTTACTCTGGGGGTTGGTATTGATGTTTATTTTCCCTTGAAAGCAGGTAAGGAGAAATGGACATTAACAGAAAGGAGTATTTGACACCTTGCTGAGCCAGGCTTTTTCTCAATGATGGTAAGATGGCCAGGAGGGGGCAGTTGGCAGAAAGGTTGAACTTTCCTACCGTCCTGCTTCCCATGATTAAAAGAAGCTTAGCACTTCTGCTTCGTCTTTTTGTTGTGTTCCTGTTTTTAATTTGTTTTGTTTATCAAATTGAGCCCCTCTAATCCCTCCATTTTCCTCCATCTCTACCGCCTCTTTCTCTTAGTACATAAACACAATCAAGCCCATCTTCAAATATCTTTGGGAAAAAATGAGGCTTTAACACTTCTTCTTTCCAGATACCACCCCCTTCTCTTTTCTTTCACAGCTATGGTTTTGTTTTTAAAAGGATAGCATAAATGTACTTGCTGTCTCCATTTCTGTATCTACCTGTCACTTCTTCCTCCTTAGAATTTTAAAAATTAATATCTTCTATACCATTTTCTCAACCACTTTTTTGTTTAGACCCTAATAGTACTCTCTAGCCTAACCTCCCAATCCATTGTCAATAAACTTGCTTGTGTATTCCAGAACAATATTGAAAAATTTAATTCCCTTTGTATATTTTTAAGTTGATCCAAAGTACTTCATCATGAGCTCATCTTATTTAAGTTAGGTTCTGCCTATTAGATCACCAAAACATAGAGTCGAGTAGGCCCAAAAATAACCCATAGTAAGACAGGAGTGGTACATTCAGAATTGGGCATGGTAGGGCCAGGGAGTACTGATAAGCTACACTGCAGATCGCCTAGACACCCATGTCACCTACCATTTTGCACCAACATGTAGGGAGCAGCTCTAGAATTAAGCCTCAGATTGGCATGTGGCAAAGCCACAGACAAGTCCCAGCTTAGAGGGCAGAGCCCTCTTAGCATAATTAAGCTTAACCTTATAGGCTCCCTAGATCTTCCCTGGGTAGCTAATGGGCTGTGGGAGGTGCAGCAAGTGCTGCCAAAACAAGTGAAACTCACAAGAATATTGTAACTACGTTGACCACTACCTTGTTTTTCTCTGACTATAAAATAAAGCCTCAGCTTGCTGGCTGGATCCTTCTCTCTGGCCTCATCCAGGCACAGGAAATCCACCGAGCCCCAGCTATAGTCTCTTTGTCTGTCTTTTCTTTAATCCTGTGCCCGCCCTTTGCCCCCCCCCCCCCCCCCCCGCCCCAAGCTCACTGACCCCTTGGCTGTGCTGGCACGGCACACCAACACCTCTCCCTTAGCTTACACATATGACTGCATAAGACATGGGTCCCTTTATGACCAGCTGACCAGGGAGGGGGGAAAAGCAAAGTTTGATTTACTGATATGTCCGAATGGTTTGTGGGTGCAAGCCAAAAATGAATGATGGCTGTACTATAGCTCCACTCTGGGGTGATCTTGAAAGACAGTGGCAAGGGAAATTCTCCCAATGGATAAATTCTCTCATTGGCGAACCTGGTCATTCACTTGGCATGGACAGAAATGTAGCCAAGGTTAGAATAAATACGAACTCATGTCACCAGCTGTTGGCTTGGCTGGTTGACCAGGTTCTGGGAGGAGAAAGATTAGAATATCAAAGACGAGGACTGGGTGGATGGACTATGTGGGTGAGAAAGAAATGTGTGGAATCCCTCCAGACAGCATCTTCATGAAAGAGGCATTGAACAACTAAATAGAGAGAATGACTTACCAATTAATGTCAGATGCTACTAGCCATCTCATTACTGGCACAATGGGAACATGGAGTAGCCATGGTGGCAGAGATGGGAGCCATACATGGACCCCAGAGCATGGGCTCCATTCACAAAGGCTGAAAGAGATACTGCCATTGCTGAATGTCCAACCTGCCAGTAACAAATTCAGTGCTGTCCCCCTCCCACCCTCCCAAAATAGCTGTCTTCCTCTAGGAGAGCAACCAGCCACTTAATGACAAGATGACTACATTGGATACCTTCCATCCTGGAAATGGCAGCAATTTATTTTGACTGCAGGTATCACATTCTGGATATGGTTTGCTTTTTCTGCCTGTAGGGCCTCAGCCAGCACCACTATCTTGTGTTTACTGAATGTCTGACCCATTGGTAAGATCCCACATAACATCGTATCAGACCAAAGGACCCCTTACACAGCAAAGGAGTCATGACAGTGGGACAAGACCATGAGATCCACTAGCCCTATCTCATTCTGTACCATCCAGAAGATGCCAGCCTGAGAGAGAAGGAATGGCCTGTGAAGGCATAGCTGGGTTGCCAGCACAGAAATGCTACCATCTAAGGATGGGGCACCATCTTCCAGGACACAGTGTATACCAGCAGTTGACAAACTTTCGGACCTCACAGACCACTAAATTCATAATTTTAAATCCCGTGGACCACTAATATGATTTTTTAAAAAGATAAATACATTTGTAAAAATAATGATCTGAGACCTTCCATTTTATTAATATGAAATGCACCTATTTATTATAACAACATTATAAATACTTATTTAATCATAACAAAATCTTCAGAGGTTGCTTAATCAAAACAAATTTATTAAAGTAAGCTTAATTTTTACAAAATAATTGAAGCTTATTTAAGTATTACACATTTTTACAGTGTGATATTTGCTCCTGTTTGTTTGAAATAAGTTAATGGATTTTTGGCTGCAATGACGTTACTGCAAGACAGAAAGCCATATTTATTTCAAGCCGAGACCAGTTCTGAGTTTTAATTGCTGTGACAGATGAAAATGTTTTTTTGCACAAATATGTTGTTGAAAATTGAATCAAAACTTTCATTGCTTTTTCACTCAGCAATGGGTATTCACTTTTAATGGAGATCCAAAAATGTGGTCTTGATAAGGATAACTGGAATTTAGCTTTGAGACTGTTGTCAGATGATAGATCGATGAGGCTTTCTTTTTCAGTCACACTTAAATTGCTATCTTCAGTGTTTGCTGCAGATGGATCTATTATCCATGTATTACCATGTCTGGGATCTTCTTTCTTTGGGTAATAATGACCAAAAGGTTCTGTGAGTGATTGTAAGTGCTGGTGAACAAGGGTTACTAGTACCACCTGCCGGTTGATATCCTTCTCTCTTATATATTCATCAAAGTTTGAAAACATTTGCAGATCTTCTTCAGCCAACCGCGTTTTCCACAGTAATATTTTCTTTTGAAAAGCATCCATTTTACCTCGTAGTGTGAACACATCCTTACATTGTCCTTGCAAGGATATGTTTAGTTCATTTAATAGCGAAAAAATATCTGACAGGTATGCAAGCTTGGCTACCCACACATTGTCGGAGAAGAGTTCTTATAATTTCGGATTATTTTGCCTCTGGAAAAATATTTTTACTTCTTCGCGCAGAGCAAACAGGTTAATATCTTGCCCCTCGACAGCCTTCTCACCTCAGCGTGAAGAAGGTGAGTATACTGGAAACCCATTTCTTCACAAAGTGCCTCAAATATTCGAGGATTGAGCTCTTTGTGTCGAATTTCATTTATAATTTTAATAACATCTGATAATACTTCATGTAATACTTCTGGGGACATTTTTCCCCCCGCAAGTTGCTCATTATGTATAATGCAGTGTATAGACAAAATGTCTGGGTGACCCAACATTTTTCACCTTTGCAACAATTCCTGAAAGATGTCCAGTCACGTTTGCAGCACCGTCTGTACATATCCCAATACATTTTTTCCATTCAGTTCCGTGTTCCAGGGAATAACTATTAAGTGCTTCAAAAATCTCAGAGCTAGTTGTTCCACCCGGCAAGTTGAGCGAACAAAGTAGTTCTTCCTGTAACTCTCCTTTACACTCATCCCTCACAAAGCAAAGGAGAAGTGCCTTGTTACTTACATCCATTGATTCAGGTTGAATTGAATAAAATGGTAAATTTTTCACCATTTTTATAACTTGATTTTCAATATCTTCAGCCATGTCTTCAATTCTGCGTTTGACAGTGTTAGCGGATATAGGAATTGCTTTCAGTTTCTGGACAGCCTGCTTTCCCAAAACCTCTTCACAGGCTTGTAACATGCAAGGCTTAATGAATTCTTCTCCAATCGTATTCGATTTTTTTTCTCAATCCGAAGTACTATCAGATAAGAAGCCTTTAATAAGGATTTATCTCCAACAGTCATTTTTGTTAAAGCAATTACTTGTTTTTGCATATTTTCACGCATTCTTTGAAAATATTCAAGTGGTTTTTCAGATAAATCCAGGTGTTTTGATTGCAAGTGTCTTTGAGTTTCGAAGGCTTCATGGCATCATTGGATCAACTCTCAGAACACACAACACAAAGCGGCCGTGGATCCAGCTAACTACCAAGTTCTTGAACAAATCCAAATTTCAAGTAGTTCAAATCATATTTTCTTGATATTTTGAGTTTTTTCTTCTCTCCGCCTCCAGTTCAAATATTCTTCCTAATGGTGCCTGACGAGGGCTCTGGAGACTCACTCATTGATCAGCTCACTTGGTTAAGCGAAGTACACATATTATTATTGTTACTATTATCATTAGTTGCATTATCTTTTGTATTACTAAAGAAATGCAAAATATTCCTTTGCTTTTTTTCACTCATTATGGGTTTATTTCATTTGAATCTAAAACCAAACAAGAAATGATAGTTACTACAGTCAAACTATTTTATGCCATTAAACATAACAGTTAAAGAAAATACAGTTACATACAATACACAAATAAAACAATCAGATGAGAATCAGTAATCGCGGAGCGGGTGACTGCCATAATGGTCGAAACAATATAGATGCCACTTGCACCTCTCGTTTCCCCCTCTCTAGTTACTGGAAAGGAGAATTCACAAAATGTACTAGACCAGTGGTTCTCAACCTTCCTAATGCCGCGACCCTTTAATATAGTTCCTCATGTTGTGACCCCCAACCATAAAATTATTTTCGTTGCTACTTCATAACTGTAATTTTGCTACTGTTATGAATTGTAATGTAAATATCTGATATGCAGGATGTATTTTCATTGTTACAAATTGAACATAATTAAAGCATAGTGATTAATCACAAAAACAATATGGAATTATATATGTGTTTTCCGATGGTCTTAGGCGACCCCTGTGAAAGGGTTGTTCGACCCCCAAAGGGGTCCCAACCCACAGGTTGAGAACCGCTGTACTAGAC